TTGATGAAAGAAGATGAGAATAAAAATATAATTTTTGACGAGATATAATGTGTATGTATATAGATGGGAATTTTCCAGTAATTATAATTTTTCCATGAGATACATTTGAATACTGTCAGACACAGGAGCACTGACGTGTAAAGTTGACAATGCGTTCAGAAGGCGAAACAGTCCAGTAAATTCTCACTGTTTACTCTTTAAATAATTTGAGATGATCGATTCTTGCCTTACGTCCTTGTTGGATTTAATGTAGTACAATCGCGAATTGAATATCTACAAAATTTCTTAAAATTGAAACTATATATTGTACTAGATATTGACATACTTGTGCAATTATAATGAGGTTGATGTTTCATTACTGAGCTGAATGCAATTAAAAGCTGTATTTTTTTTATGCATTATACCTAGATCAAGAAAATATTGCCTTTGTTTTTGTAAACCATAAACTGCCTGTGAAATGTTAATAAAAAATGAACATGCGATGGAGGAATACAAAACAAATATTGAGAAAAAAAGTTATATATTGGGTATGGGAATAAGTTTCCGCCCTTTTTTTAATGAAAAAGACGTATTTATTTAAACAAAACAATACAAAGTAAGTTCATTCAAAGTATGCTCCATCAGAAGCGACAACTTTCCCCCACCTTTCAGGTAATAAACAGATTCCTCGAAGGAAGAAATCTGGTTCTTTTGAAGCGATCCATTTATCAAGCCATTTTTTTGATATCTTCATAAGAATTGAATCGCTCTCCAGAAAGGGCCGACAGCATGGAACGGAATAAATGGAAGGAGCAATGTCCGGCGAATACGGCGGGTGGGGCAGAATTTCCCACTTCACTCCTTCCAAGTATTTCTTGACCGGTTTTGCAACGTGTGACATAGCGTTGTCACGTAGCAGAATCAGCTTATCGTGCCTATTGTCTCATTGCTATTGTTTTTGTTTCAAAGCTTAGTTCAAACAAATCGCTTCGAACGAATATCAACTACTCAAAAGCTTGAACACACACCTTTCAAATACATGTATTACCGTTTTATCAAACACACAAGCAGTGCTACTAATGACATCTCTCTAATGGGCGGAAATTTATTCCCATACCTAATAATTTTTATCGTTTAGTTTGGAAAAGATTCGTGAAAAAAATTCAATTTTCGTAAACATTTGTTAATCCGTTATGTAAATCGAAGGAAGATAGCAATGAGCTGCGTTAGGCTGCGTCTTAACTCTATTCATTTTTTCCGTTTTCATCCAAGAACAAGCGCAATGAAAAGTTTTCTCTAGCGAGAGTGTAAATCAGCAGTGAGAATATCGTTAGCGAGCGTGCCAGAAAACTTAACTTTTTGATTATTACCTTAAAGATAGATTCTGATCCAGCCTTTATAGCGTTGTAAGCATTATTTGTGCTTGTTTAATATTTGATGATTAACAAGAATGAAATGATGCTTAACATATCGTATAAACGTAAAAACACAATACATAGAACAATAATAATAATAAATCAATTAATGCTAATTTACCCGGTTGCGTCTTTAGAACACAGTCCAATTTTAAGATTGGACGTGCTGACTTATTTTTATGTATAAGTATCACTTATGTATATGCTGCGGCGACTCACCACTAGAGGTTCACGGGACTCACTCGGTTCGCGTGAGGACCTCAGTCACGCGAATTCTCTTTAAATAGAATATCATTCTGGATTCATTCCAGGCGTCTAAGGCAAGTCCCACACAACTTATTGATGAGTCTAGTAGTGTGGGACCAGAACGAAACGCTGCGGCCGACTACAAAGCTTTGAGTCAGGCCTCCTTAGTGGACATTCCACAATGCTATATTACGTCCTGACTCCACAGATCTTTTCTTCAACTAGAATTTTCGTCATCACCATAAGGGTTACTAACAAGTAATACCGGTGGTAGACCATCTGTATCTACCATAAGAAGT